GATTCACAGAGGAAATATAAGGAAAGAGGACATGACAGCTTTTCATATGGACTTATTTTGGGTGCACAGTAAATTTCATGGGAAAATTCCATCCACTATATTAAACGAAGGTTAGGCTTCGGGTTAGGGTTACGATTTGGTGCCCTTGGGCCCTGAAATTAATCTTAGGGACAGTTTCTTAGATGGGTAATAAGCAAAGAGAATGTGACAGATTTTTGTTTAGACTTATTTTGCGGGCAGAGTACATTACATGGGAAAAACCCATTAAATCATTAGGGGTAGGGGTAGGGGTAGGGATATGGCTAGGGTGAGGTGACCAAGGTGTCTGGCCTTTAAATTAATGTTAGGGACAGTTTCTTAGAGGTATTATAAGCAAAGAAAAAATGACAGCTTCTTGTTCAGTCTTCCTCTCAGAACACAGTAAATTACATGGGAAAAACCCTTTCCCATATGAAAACTAGGATCGGGGTTAGGGTTAGGGTAAGGAATCCTTGGGGTCTCACCAGAAAATTAAGCTTATGGGGAGATTCCTAGAGGTATTACAAGAAAATAGAAACTGAAAGCTTTTCATTCGGACATATATTGGGTGAATGGTAAATTACATGGGAAAATCCCATTCAGAAAATTAAACTACGGTTAGGGTTGGAGCGAGGGTTAAGCTTACGTCTCCTTGGGGTCTGGCCAGAAAAATAACCTTCTGGGGAGATTCCTAGAGGTATAATAAGGAAAGAGAAAGTGAAAGCTTTTCATTTGGACATATCTTGGGTACACAGTAAATTACATGGTAAAATCCAATTCACAAAATTAAACTAGGGTTAGGGTTGGGGCTAGGGTTAGGATGAGGTCTCCTTGGGGTCTGGCCAGAAAACTGACCTTCTGGGGAGATTCCTAGAGGTATTACAATGAAAGAAAAAGCGACAGTTTTTCATTCGGACATATTTTGGGTACACAGTAAATTACATTGGAAACTCCGATTCAGAAAATTAAACTATTGTTAGGGATGGGGCTAGGGTTAGGGTTAGGTCTCCTTGGGGTCTGGCCAGAAAACTCAGTTAATGGGGAGATTCGTAGAGGTATTACAAGGAAAGAGAAAGCGAGAGCTTCTCATTCGGACATATTTTGGGTGCACAGTAAATTACATGGGAATATCCCATTCAGAACATTAAACTAGGGTTAGAGTTGGGGCTAGGTTTAGGGTTAGGTCTCGTTGGGGTCTGGCCAAAAAACTCAGTTTATGGCGAGATTCCTAGAGGTATTACAAGGAAAGAGAAAGCAAGAGCTTCTCATTCGGACATATTTTGGGTGCACAGTAAATTACATGGGAAAATCCAATTAACAAAAATAAACTAGGGTTAGGGTTGGGGCTGGGGTTAGGGTTAGGTCTCCTTGGGGTCTGCCCAGAAAACTCAGTTAATGGGGAGATTTCTAGAGGTATTACAAGGAAAGAGAAAGCGACAGCTTTTCACTCGGACATATTTTGGATGCACAGTAAATTACATGGGAAAATTCCATTCACAAAATTAAACTAGGGTTAGGGTTGGGGCGAGGGTTAGGGTTAGGTGTGCTTGGGGTCTGGCCAGAAAACTCAGTTTATGGCGAGATTCCTAGAGGTATTACAAGGAAAGAGAAAGCGACAGCTTTTCATTCGGACATATTTCGGGTGCACAGTAAATTACATGGGAAAATCCCACTCAGAACATTAAACTAGGGTTAGGGTTGGGGCTAGGGTTAGGGTTGGGACCCCTTGGGGTCTGACCAGAAAATTCAGTTTATGGGGAGATCCCTAGAGGTATTACAAGGAAAGAGAAAGCGACAGCTTTTCATTCGGACATATTTTGGGTGGACAGTAAATTTCATGGGAAAATCCCATTCAGAAAATTAAACTAGGGTTAGGGTTGGGGCTAGGGTTAGGGTTAGGTCTCCTTGGGGTCTGGCCAGAAAACTAACCTTCACGGGAGATTCCTAGAGGTTTCACAAAGAAAGAGAAAGCGACAGCTTTTCATTCGGACATATTTTGGGTGCACAGTAAATTACATGGGAAAATCCCATTCAGAACATTAAACTAGGGTTAGGGTTGGGGCTAGGTTTAGGGTTAGGTCTCCTTGGGGTCTGGCCAGAAAACTAACCTTCACGGGAGATTCCTAGAGGTTTCACAAAGAAAGAGAAAGCGACAGCTTTTCATTCTGACATATTTTGGATGCACAGTAAATTACATGGGAAAATCCCATTCAGAACATTGAACTAGGGTTAGGGTTGGGGCTAGGGTTAGGGTTAGGTCTCCTTGGGGTCTAGCCAAAAAACTCAGTTTATGGAGAGATTCCTAGAGGTATTACAAGGAAAGAGAAAGCGACAGCTTTTCATTCGGACATATTTTGGATGCACAGTAAATTACATGAGAAAATTCCATTCACAAAATTAAACTAGGGTTAGGGTTGGGGCTAGGGTTAGGGTTAGGTCTCCTTGGGGTCTGGCCAGAAACCTAACCTTCTGGAGAGATTCCTAGAGGTATTACAAGGAAAGAGAAAGCGACAGCTTTTCATTCTGACATATTTTGGATGCACAGTAAATTACATGGGAAAATCCCATTAAGAACATTAAACTAGGGTTAGGGTTGGGGCTAGGGTTCGGGTTAGGTCTCCTTGGGGTCTGGCCAGAAAACTAACCTTCTGGGGAGATTCCTAGAGCTAATACAAGGAAAGAGAAAGCGACAGCTTTTCATTCGGACATATTTTGGGTGCATAGTAAATTACATGGGAAAATCCCATTCAGAACATTAAACTAGGGTTAGGGTTGGGGCTAGGGTTAGGGTGGGGACCCCTTGGGGTCTGACCAGAAAACTCAGTTTATGGGGAGATCCCTAGAGGTATTACAAGGAAAGAGAAAGCGACAGCTTTTCACTCGGACATATTTTGGGTGCACAGTAAATTACATGGGAAAATCCTATTCCCAAGATTAAAATAGGGTTAGGGTTGGGGCTAGGGTTAGGGTTAGGTCTCCTTGGGGTCTGGCCAGAAACCTAACCTTCTGGGGAGATTCCTAGAGGTATTACAAGGAAAGAGAAAGTGACAGCTTTTCATTCGGACATATTTTAGGTGCACAGTAAATTACATGGGAAAATCCCATTCACAAGATTAAACTAGGGTTAGGGTTGGGGCTAGGGTTACGGTTAGGTCTCCTTGGGGTCTGGCCAAAAAAGTAACCTCCTGGGGAGATTCCTAGTGGTATTACAAGGAAAGGAAAAGCGACAGCTTTTCATTCGGACATATTTTGGGTGCACAGTAAATTACATGGGAAAATCCCATTCACAAAATTAAACTAGGGTTAGGGTTGGGGCTAGGGTTAGGGTTAGGTCTCCTTGGGGTCTGGCCAGAAAAGTATCCTTCTGGGGAGATTCCTAGTGGTTTTACAAGGAAAGGAAAAGCGACAGCTTTTCATTCGGACATATTTTGGGCGCACAGTAAATTACATGGGAAAATCCCATTCACAAAATTAAACTAGGGTTAGGGTTGGGGCTAGGTTTAGGGCTAGGTCTCCTTGGGGTCTGGCCAGAAAAGTAACCTTCTGGGGAGATTCCTAGTGGTTTTACAAGGAAAGAGAAAGTGACAGCTTTTCATTCGGACATATTTTGGATGCACAGTAAATTACATGGGAAAATTCCATTCACAAAGTTAAACTAGGGTTAGGGTTGGGGCTAGGGTTAGGTTTAGGTCTCCTTGGGGTCTGGCCAGAAAACTAACCTTCTGGGGAGATTCCTAGAGGTATTACAAGGAAAGAGAAAGCGACAGCTTTTCATTCGGACATATTTTGGGTACACAGTAAATTACATGGGAAAATCCCATTCAGAACATTAAACTAGGGTTAGGGTTGGAGCTAGGGTTAGGGTTAGGTCTCCTTGGGGTCTGGCCAGAAAACTAACCTTCTGGGGAGATTCCTAGAGGTAATAC